ACTATTTATATCGACTATTGTCAAACAATGGCAACTTCTCATTTCCTTTCAACTTTTTCAAGCTGTGTGATATATTAGTTCTGGAGGCGTACTTCTCAACTCGAACTCAACTAGTTCGATGCTAGTGACATTATTTGTTGCCAGCAAATTCGAATCTTTCTTGATAGTGACGAAAAAAAGCACACTTTTTATTTCATTACCTTTCGTACATTAGGTGGAAGCAAAGAAAGCCGTTCCTAGAGAAGACCATCAAACCCCCAACCGAAACATGCCCGGACCCCAAAGCCCGGCTCGAACCAAGAAAATTTTCGTCGGGGGCCTCCCGTCAACAATCACCGAAAGTGACTTCAAGAAATATTTCGGCCAATTCGGTACAATAACCGATGTTGTTGTGATGTACGACCACAACACGCAAAGGCCCAGAGGCTTCGGTTTCATAACGTACGATTCGGAGGAACCGGTGGATCGAGTCTTGGTGAAAACATTTCACGAGCTCAACGGTAAAATGGTCGAGGTCAAGCGGGCCGTCCCGAAAGAGCTTTCCCCTGGTGGGCCTGCACGGAGCCCGTCGAGCTACAGCCCGAACCGGGCAGGCGGGCTTTTCAACTGTTATTCTCCAGGCTACAGTGGTTTGAATTCATCGGGTGGGTACGGGATGAGAATGGATGGCCGTTTTAACACGATCGGTCGAGTCGGGTATCCACCGTACAGCCCTGGAAATCATAGCGTGGGATCGAATTTGGAGACTGGATGGGGGTTGTTAAATTCTGGTTTGGGGTATAGAAACGGGATGGAGTACTCGTATTTCGGTGGGAATTCGGGTAAAAATGGTTCCTTTTTGAACGATCGTGAAGCGTATATTGCAAACTCTGGAAGTTCGAATGGTTTGTTAGCTGCTGGTGGTGGATTAAGAAATATAGGAGAAAATTGGGCTGGAATAGGATCATCCCCTGTTTCGGCTAATGCTAGGGAAGGTATCATCTATGGTGGTGTGCAGGATAACTACGGTGGGATGGCAGGTTATGCGAGGGACAATAGAGGTGTTTCTGATTCAGAATCGTTTTTTTCCGGCACTGATATTGTGCGTGACGAGGGATTTAATTCCTTTTATTCGGATAATGCTTGGCATTCGTTGCTTGAGGGGCCCGCTGATGTGGCACCAAACAATCCAGTTGGTTATGTTGGGGATTATCGTGTTACTAGCTCTAATCGAGGTAAATCGTTCGTGTATTTTTTTATTTATTTTTTATTTTTATTTTTATAAATATATGCATTTTCTTTGGTAATTGTTCTTAGTTAGAATAACAACGGTAGGAAATGGTGAATACGTTTTCGAACCGGACCTTTCTTTCCGTTTTTGTTCAATTTTATCATCTTTTTATCCGAAAACAAGAACAAAGAAAAAGGAAAAACAACACCTCAAAAAGGAAAAGGCAATAGTTTTTAGCGAACACTCGATATGTAGGGATAAATCTAACGAACACGGAACATCTCATGTGTTGCAACTTTTTTGTCGATCTATGCTAATGAAGTTGTTTCATTCATTGTTTTGTTTGTCGAAACAGGGATTGCTGCATAGGAAAAATTACTGTATGGATACATGAAGACCGTACATTTGGAGTGCAAAAACCCAAAAAAAGAAGAAAATTAAATTGAAAAAAAAAAAGTGAAACCGAACCGTAGGATAATCTAGTGTTCTGGAGATGCTTTTAATTCTAGATCGTTATTTTAGTAGAGGCATTATTAAGGATTTATTACATAAACAACAGAGAACAAATATTCGAGTGAGCCGAGCCTTTTGAAATAGATCATGTTTTCTTGTGATTTTTTACTTTTTATTTTTTCGTTTGAGCTGTGAATAGGAGTTACTGTGATGTATTCGTGATGCGTTTGTCATTATATTTGTATTTGTTATCGTGTTGAGACGTGAAATCCCAGGTTCGAGTCTGTGTTTCGTGTTTGCTTTCTGGGCAAACTTTGGGAGTTGCATGTCTTGTACTTTGGCTAAGCCATAGCCCTTGCACATTATTTCTTACTTGAAACAATTCTGGTTTTTTTGTGGACTTTGTTTTCTTGATTAGCTTGACATTGCACAATATTTTTTTACTTAAACATGGTGGTTTTTATGGACTTTGTTTTCTTCATTAGCTTCTCATTTTTACAGTACGTGTTGCTTTGTTATGATTTATATATATATAACATGTGATTTATGTGTATGCAGAGTTGAAGACATCAGGTTTGTTAAGTTAACATTTATCTTAAAACAAGAAATATTCAGTTTACACAAGAAATATTCAATTTACTTTTGCCTCTACAATTTAAAATTTTTAAAAGTAATTCATTATAATATGTTTTCCTACAAATACCAATATTCTTCTTTTTATATACTTCTAAATGTAAATCTTGGCTAAGTAATAAGTGTTTATTATTTTTATATATTATGAATTTTAATCATTATATTTTTATCTCATATTTACACAATCTTATATTTATCACACTTTTTTTTAAACATTAGATATTATAGCGAGAATACTTACTCCTCGAAAAGAGAATAAACACATCCAACAACAACAAAATACATCAAACAACAAAACAGAGACTACTAAAACACCATACAACAACAAAAGACCGTAAGTAAAACTCAATTAAAATAGAATAAAGCCCTCTACTACCACAAGCAACAACAGAGCCACACGTGCGAACTGCTCCGAGCGGAAAACAAAAACACGACTCAACCCAAATTTAGAAATTGTAACAGAGGCTTAACTAAACTCAGACTTAAATTAGCCAAATTTCCGTCAACCAGAGCCACTTTGCACTCCTCAACGAAAGCCCAAGCCGGAGAAGCTCACCAACACCAAACCGGTCGAAAGCAGTCGATCATCACCTCCGGCAAACCCTCCACTTCAACCGTCAAGCCACCCGCCCCAGCACCAGGAGACGGGAGGTCCTGGGGGAGCTCACCCGAGCACGATAGCCACCGTCCGGCCCAGGGCAGCTGACGATGTTTGGGATCACGAAACCACCGAGAAAACGCCAGAACCCCACCTCAGCACTGCCATGGCTTATGGGAGAGGAGACACGTTGCGCTGGGCTGCACGGGACACCTGAGAAGGAGGCTCGTTGCCCCCAATGAGGAGTGGCGCCGCGTCGAAGGCCGACGCAAACGGAAGAAAGGCTAGCACGAGAGAGAAGCGACGAGGGTTACCAAGAAAAAAGAGATTGGAATAGGTAGTGAGAGAAAAATAATTGCAAGATTTTATTTCTTTCACACTTTTTCTTCTTACTAAGCAATCCTTATTCCAAAACTTTTCATTACGGACCCTCATCCGGATGGACCAGCTAGTGTACCATTCTTTAGATTCGGACGACCGCCACCACCTGATCCTGACTAGACTTGCCGTTTTGGACTTCCTGCCAGGACACCTTTATTGGGAATTCCAACCACACCGAAACTCCGCCCAAGATCCTCTGAAAATAAAAAACTGGAGAACACAAAATTTAACGTGGAAAATCCTCTGTTAGCGAAGAGGGAAAAACCACCAGGGCAACAAGGTCGTAGAAAATCCACTATGTAAAAAAAATTACACAATTTTTCTACCACTCACTTAACCAAAATTACCCCACAGAATTTTCTACTCGTTAACTCTAACTCTCACCCTAAGGAATTTTTACCCTAAGGAATTTTTTACCAGAGATTAATTGTTAACACAATAACTCTGTGGGATGATTTTATATAAGAAGTAGCACTTTCTTATATAGGAGAAAAATCTCCCTCTCTTTCATTCCACAATCGATGTGGGACAAAGAGCAAAACCCAACAAACTCCACCTTGCGATTTTGGCCCATCTGACAGCCACTATTCACTTTGATGAAATTTTTCATAGCTTTCGCCATCATGCTCCACCATAAAAGCATATCCACTCGGACTCGCATCTAAGCATTTCTTCGGCCCATGTCGAAATAACCTTGCTGAAATCTATGGTGCAACTTCCACGTTTGGCTTTCCTGGAAGTTCATCAGCCCTCGACACGCTTTTTCCACCACACACCTTGCATCACCGCCAAACCAATGCCCGTGTGTAAACTGTAGACCCGCTAATTTTAACACGTCCTCTTTCATGACACTTAGCGACATGCCATAAGGACTCCCCTTTCTCTCTTAGCAAAACTCATCCATGGAGAGAGAGACGAAATTAGCTTCTTCGGTATCTCCACTTACCGACTTGGAGCCTTTTGCCGAACCTACTCCTCCTTTCGGACAATTTCTTTTCACGTGCCCAGATTGTCCACACGTCCAGCAAATCACAAATTGCTTCTTCCTGGAGTTCCTCTTCTTTCCGTCACCGACGAGCATGACTTGACCTTCCGGTGAATTGTTTCGTCCACCGTCTAGCCTTCTCTCTTCCGCAAGAAGTTTACC